GCTCCGGCACCAGCTTTGCCTGCAGGTCGGCAGCCACCAAATCCTCCAGCTGGGACATGGGGCAGTAGCCATCCCCGTGGTGGGGCTAGTTGGGTGCCTGTGCCTGGAGCTCGTGGCTGGCTGGGCTGGCTCTGCCCAGCAGCTGCCTCAGGCAGATCTCTGCTGCCCACAGGTTTGAGATGTTTGAGTTCAACAGCTTTGAGCAGTTCTGCATCAACTATGCCAACGAGAAGCTGCAGCAGCTCTTCAACCTGGTGGGTGTCACCCAGATGTGTCTCCTTACTGGGAGCTGGTGAGGGTGCACCCTGCACATCCCCACCGCACTGTTGCTTTCGGAGCTCTCTGTATTGGATGTGGCTGGGGCTTCAGTCCCTGCAAACATGGGCCTTGGGGAGCTGGGCACGGTCCCCTCCTTCCTCCCAAAGTGTTCCTGCTCCAGGAGAAGGGCTGCTCAGGTGTCTTATGGAGAGCAAGCCACTGCCTGCAGTCTGCCTGGTGGCTGGTCACCTTTGTCCCCTCTTGGCTCAGTCCTGTTCTGTTCTCCCTGCCCTCCAGCATGTCTTCAAGCTGGAGCAGGAGGAGTATGTGACCGAGGAGATCCCATGGGTCTTTGTTGACTTCTTTGACAACCAGCCATGCATTGAGCTCATCGAGGGCCGGCTTGGCATCCTGGACCTGCTGAATGAGGAGTGCAAGGTGGGCAAGGGGTGCTGGGAACAGGCTGCTGTGGCCACCCAGAGCCCCCCTGCAGCCCCTTCTGACCCGTTTGCCTTTCAGATGCCACAAGGTAGTGATGGGAGCTGGGCCCAGAAGCTTTACCAGACCCATCTTGGCAGCTCCTACTTCCAGAAGCCCAAGAGGCCCACGGATGCTTTTGTTGTCTGCCACTTTGCTGGCAAGGCAGGGAAAGCTGTGGTGGTACAGCCTTGGCTGGGGGAAGCTCCATGGTGGCTCTGCACCAACGGGCCCAGTCTGGAGCTGGTGGTGGAGCTCCTGCGGCCTCCCAGACTGAGCAGTTGGATCCTGCTGGCTCTGCTGGTGGTAAGAGCTGGGCTACAACTCTTTAACTGAGGGTAAAACCATGGAAACTCTGGCTGTGATGCTTCCCATCAGCAGCCTTGCAGCAGGACAGGAGTTAGTGTGGCCACCACCAGCTCTGACTCCCGCAAGGGCTTCTTCCAAAAGCCTGGGACTGGGTCCAGGCGGAGCCGTGTGTCAAAGCAGCAGTCTGGGAAGCCGCAGACTAATGCTGGTGCTTGCCTCGTCCCCTGCCAGGTGGAATACCAGTGTGATGGGTTTGTGGAGAAGAACAGGGACACTGTCCCTGAGGAGCTGGTGGGACTGCTGCGAGCCAGCAAGGTGAGAGCCACCCCGAGCAAGGGCTTTGTAGGGTGGAACCTGGCCGGCTTGTGGTCCTGGGAGCCTGGGGCTGGGAAGGACTTGTGGTGTAGGAGGTATGAGCAGTGCGGGGTAATCCCTGTCTGCCTGCTGGCACAGCCCTGTGCAGTGCTGGCCACGGTCAGGGTGCCCCAAGATGTGGGTGCTCCCCACCTTGTTCCCCTGTCTTGGGCTTTCCCCATCTTGGGGGGACACCTTGGCCATGTCCCTGCTGAGAGGGCTGGAGGGTCCCACTGCTTCCAGTCTGTAACACTGTCACTTCTTCCTTCCACCCTGCGTGGCCTTGGCAGAAGGTAAGGGACATGTTGGAGAGCTCTTGAGCACACCTGGGAAGGTGCCTGTGGTTTGCACTTAGTTTTTGCTGGGGGAAACAGCAGGCAGGGGCACAGCTGGATCTGGCACATCTGGGCTGTAGAAGGGCAGAGGACCATGCACTGGGCTGGCCTCTGTGGAGCCTGTGGTCTCTTGGGACTGCACCTCCTGGTGGTGATGGGTCCTGGGTGGTGCTCGCTGCAAGGTCTGCCCAGCTCTCACCGCTCTGCTCTGCGCAGTTTGCCCTGCTCACGGAGCTCTTCCTGGAGGAAGGGGATGGCCCCATCTCCCTGCAGTCCCGCAGGTCCAGTGGACCCAGGATGGTTGGTCGCCCTAGCCGCAGATCACTGCCTGGTAGCCAAAAGAGCAAGAAATCCATCTCCAGCCAGGTATGGAGTGGGGGGGTGGGAAATATGTGCTGGCCCCAGGCAACCGGTGCTGGGGTAGCCCTAAGGGGATCCATGTGTGTCCTGGCCTGGGGGAACCCTGCAAGCCCCTGGGTGTTCCTGCTGGCCCCACGCTTGGCTCATCCTCCGCAGTTCAAAGCCTCCCTGAACCGGCTGATGGAGATGCTGGGCAGCACCACGCCGCACTACATCCGCTGCATCAAACCCAACGATGGCAAGAAGCCCTTTGTGTGAGTGCTTGGCCAGCCAGGGCAGGCTGGGTGTGATGGGGCTGGGGACACTGTGGGACACAGCTGCCCCTCCAGCCTGTGTCCCTCAGCTCGGCGCATGCCGAGAGGGCTGGGGCCTGTTGGAGATCAGCCCCTCTCTGCCCCAGGTTTGACTCCAGGCGAGCAGTGGAGCAGCTACGAGCCTGTGGGGTCCTGGAGACCATCCGGATCAGTGCCTCAGGCTATCCCTCCAGGTACCCCCACCCCCGCTTCAGCAGCGCCCTAGGTGCTCCCCCCATCCCCAGCCACACCACCTCTGACCCCTCTGTGTCCCCCACAGGCTGACGTACCAGGAGTTCCTAGAGAGGTACAGGGCTCTGGTGAGCAGAGAGGAGCTGAGGAGCGCTCACGAGAAGCAGATCTGCAGCCTTGCCCTGGAGAGACTGCTTCAAGTAAGGGTCCTGCTGTCAGGGGGATGCAGCTGTGGTACCAGAGCATCCCTTGCAGATGTTTCTCCCCGTGTGTGGGTGCCCAGTAGGGCACAGAAATGGGGGAGCTGGGGAGGCGCTCAACCTCCAGGAAGGTTGGAGGGGGGAGATCAGTGCCATGAGGAGCATCGCTCCTGGGGGAGCCCAGCTGGGGGATGCTTTGTGACTCCACCCCGGCACGCAGGACCCCAGCAAGTACCAGTGTGGGAAGAGCAAGGTGTTTTTCCGGGCTGGCCAAGTGGCATACCTGGAGGAGCTGCGGTACCGGCGGCTGAGGGCAGCCTGCGTCCTGCTGCAGAGGCACCTGCAGGGCTGCC